TATAAAAGAAAATGTTGTAGCTATGTATGAATCTATGATTTCTAGATAGAAACCTCTTTCTCTTTCCTAAAACTTTAGAATCTCCAAATTTACTTTCGGGAAATACTTACATCTTTTTTGGTAGGGTTTTGGGACAAACAGACAATAATCAATAATCTACCTTACAAATGACGAATTAAATTTGTTTTAGCCTTTAAATCGGTATACTGGTACTAAATCAGTCCAATCTATATCTCAGGCAGGCTGATTCAACCATTTGACAAATCATTTGCATGATAAGTTAGCTATGGAGATCAATATCTTACCTATATTTCCTTGGGGCGGAATAAATCGGCGAATAATACAAAGACTCAGAGGAATATTTGAGTAAGGGAGATGTTTGCTGAGACAAACTATGGACTGCCTCATTGCTGTAAAGCATTGGGATAAGCTCTGATAAGAGCGGCGCTCGAGTGACAGAAAATAAATCAAGAAGATTGAAAAAGAGGGAGGATGTTGGAAAAGTTTTTATATCGAACCTTGACGTACGCTTCGGAGGCGTTGGTGCTTGGCACATGCGTTTCGTTGTTGAATAGTAAGTGAAGAATAGAAATGCTATGCTTATCACCGCTAGCGGTACATAAATGAAGTCGATGTCAAGCATGAACGGGAAAGGAGATCAGGGATAAATTCGATCGGGCATCGAGGATATGTGGTCCTGAAGTTTTGCGATGAGGAAATTGAAAGATGAACTTGTTGCTTTCAAAAAGAAAGGAAGTCTAAGTGAGCTGTGCTTCTCTACAAGCTAGCTGAGATGAATTTATTCATAAAATTTGTTTCTAAAGGCATTGACACTCAGAACATCGTTTTTTTTGCTCTTGAATGCAAAAGTGCAACATCGAAAATCAATAAATTCTAAAAATTTAATGGTGAGATATTTAACAAGCGTTTAATATCCACTATCGATTCCACATAGAGTGTGTAACGTGAAAGCGCCCATGAGCTCCCTTGATTGCTTGTGGGCGGACTGACAGAAGGCGATCAGTCGCATCCGAGAAAAACTTCAGCTGGCCAAGGAGGCCCGTTGAGAGTGGAGTCATGCGATGCGGCTAAAGCTTTTACAGCTCTTCGATCTTTACCTCTACCTGACAGGCGTTCCCATTGACGCAACCTCTCTATTTTCATCATTCAAGTAGCCTCAAAGTGTAAATAGATCCCACCTTTGGCGAGAAATTGAGCTGGGATGTGCTCAGCATATCACTGATTAGCTGTATAAGCAAGTAATTCAACAAAGGCAGGACCATGACTTTGTTTTGGAATAAAAGTTCAAGAGGAAGTGGACATAAGGACAGAGGAGTGCTTTCTTCTTGGAAAGTCATTGATTTATTTTTCAAAAACAAAATCGTAAGCAAAAGTTTCAAACGAATGAAGCAGGCTTAAAACTCGCACTTACAAAATGAATCACTCTACGACAGTGCCGAAATTCTTGCTCTGTTTCCAATCAAAGTACACATTACTCATAGTGCAAAATTACGTTTTTACGGAACAGTTGCAGATGTTGCTTCTCGTTAACACTCTCATCCTAGCGCACATTCCGGCAAGAATTCGAGAATTTTTCCGCATCGAACTGTCGCAAACGTATAGGAAGTATTTGTGAAGCAGGAATTTTAGGAAGAAATCAAAAAGAGAACTTGTAACGAAAGTAGTGCGCTTTGGGCACATATCGCACATTTCGAGACTAGAATTTGAAGAGTTGCAAAAGAAATTGTGAACAATTTTCTGGATATGCGAAAAACTGATTACAATAGATTTTGATGTAAAAAAAAAGGAAGAAGGAGTTTCAGTTTAAAATTGCTTTTCTGCCAAAATATTATCAAGATGAAAGACTG